ATTTCTGTTTTTTCTCTTTTGTTAAATTGGGCTATGTGTCTGTTTTGTTTTTGTCATTCCCATGTTGTTTTCATTCATTTACCTTTGTGATGTACTTAAAAACTGTTAGTGTAATTCCTCCAGTTTGTGTGTGTGTGTGTGTGTGTGTGTGTGTGTGCATGTGTATGTGTTTCCTTGTCTATTTAGAATTAGAATTATTTTCCTACAACTGCAAAGACAGGCACACAAAAATATTACAAGGGTTGCTTATATGTGGAAGTTAGGATACATCTTGTAAAACTAGTAGGTCACAGACCCAGCAGGTTGCATAAGTGATTAATGCACTGGAATTCCACAAGACAACTACAGTTCATGTTCCAGACCTGGCAGCTTGAAAATCATGTCAGTGACATGTGGCATGACCATCCTTTCTGGAAAGTGATTACTCACTCCCCCCCCCTTTGTGTCTCTGTCTCTTTCTGGCCAGTTCACATGCCTGAGCACAATAACCTAAAAAGGAAAAAAAATAGTGGCTAGAGGATAGAAATAATAGAGGGGGGGGGTTTGTTAAAGGTACAAAATTACAGGAAGGTGTCTAATATTTCATTACATACTAGGGTGAATGCAGTTAACAATAATTTACTGAATACCTCAAAAAAGTAAAACAACTTTTTAAAGAGATTTTTCTAGAGGGTGTATGCACCCACTGGAAAGACACAGAAATACAGAAAGCAACAAATTACACTCCAGGGGGATTGTCATGCCACAATGTCTTCTCCTCCATTTTCCTCTCAAGATTTTGGGCATGCACACACAAGCTCCCAATTTGACTTTTAAGTATCCACGTCTGAGACTTAAACTGAAGTCCACTGTTCGGTAGTCCAGGGCCTTAACACTACACAACCTGCTGACCCTAGTCAAAAAATTTTTAATTTTTCCAACAGAAATCATAAATATTTGAGGTGGTGTGTATGCTAATTAACCTGATTTTATCATTACACGTTGTGTTTATGTATAGAACAGTCACACTGAAAGCCATAAATATGTATGATGCATATCTATTGGTTATTTAAAATAATATACTCTGAGAAGATCCTGAAAATATATTACCTGTAGGGTAGTACTCATAATACAAAGTAGGGCTGCAGACCACATAATATGAACTTGTGACTTTAATAGACATTAGTAGATCCCCCACAGACAAATAGAATAAAAATTTTTGACTCTATACCTATTTGGTACCATTTTTTTTGGCTCTCTATATTTATTTTTAATGAGAAAGAGAGAAACGCACCCTCTAAACAGTCATCTTAACCCAATGGTCCTTTAGCCCTGCAGTCAATCAGGATTATGCAACACTTGGCATGTTTGATTTGACCCAGAGTCTTCCCATGTGGCTTCTAGAATTATGCAGCAGCGTGCATAGTTCCTGTGCCTATGAATTGGCCATGTGTTGCTTGTGAATGCTATGAATTTAAATAATCTTCTCATGTATAGTTAGAAAATTCTAGTACCCCTTTTTTTTTTTTTTGAGAGAGAGGTTTTTGCTATGGGGCACGTGTGCTTGCCAGAAAGACAGAGAGAGACAGAAAGTGAGAAATCACCCCCCAGGGTTGATGGCCACGCTGCAATCCCGTCTCCTCTGTTCTTCTCTTGAAATCTTGGGCACAGACACACACATGCCTGGAATGAGTTTAAGCCACCAGGTCTGGGACTTGAACCATGGCTGACTACATGGGAGTTTAGTGACATAGCCATTATGCTAACTGCTGGTCTCTCTAGTACCTTTACTAGGGATTATTCCAATATGGATTATTTTACTAAGAATTATTTATTTAGTTTTATTTATTATTATTGTTATTATTTTAATTTGATATAATCACCAGAGAGAAGAAGGGTGGCAGGAGGAGTGAGAAACCCAAGTCATCAGGTCTGTCAAGTCCAGGACTCACTCACCTGGTAAGTGTCCTGTGTGATCAAAGTCTGTACCCCACCCCAGATAACATGGATGTGCATCTTTTAATGTGTTTAACAAAGACAATAATAACCTGCAATGAGGATGTAATGAATAACCATGCAAGGAAGGTGCAGTGTGCCTTGAAGAATTGCAGCAGGGGGATACTACAGCAGGACTGCCTTGTCGATGAATGAACCATAAAGGCTGCCTGGGTGAATGGTCTGAAGTAAATATATCTTGCTCTGAGCACCCCTCAGATTAATCATAGATTTCTGTTTCAAAGGTTTGGCACCCCTCAGATTAATCATAGATTCCTGTTTCAAAGGTTGACTTTTTTTTTTTTTTCAATATTATTGAAAAACCAAGAAGATATGAGGATGTGTCTCTGAAAGAAAAAAAAAAAAATGCAGGTGTACTCAAACCAGAAACCTGAAAACTGAAATTGTGAAACTTCAAAATAAGTAAGATAGGCAGTCAGGGAGACAAAAAAAAATCCTGAAGAGAGAACAGTGACTATAGAACTCAGTGTATCATACATAAATATGAAGACACACCAGAATTCTGAAAATGCTGAACATCCCTTAATAGTCAGCTACACACGTAATACTAATAACCATTCTGTATTAAGACACCAAAGTTCACAGATGTTTACAGTTACTTTTTATTAAGTACTCTAAAACTGAACTACTAATTTTGTTTCTATTTGTTTTATGTTTTAAATTTTAAGTCTCTATTTTCTCCATAGTAATGTTTCTACATTAATGTAAATTGAAAGCCATATAATATACTTCTTTTAAATAAATATTGTAAATATTAAACCAAAAAAGGTAATCAAGCAGTAAAACAGTCTCTCAATAGAGATCACAATCTCAAGTTTTCTTTTTTTTCCCCAAGAGTAGAAAATAGAGTCTATGTAGGAAAGCTAAAATACATTATTTTTTTATATTAAAAGTTTAATATTATCAGAACTCAGTCCAAAGAGTAAATTAAAGTACAATAATTGCATTGAAATTAAAAGTGCATTTTACTACTGGAATGTAACTTATTAAATGTATCATTTCCTCTTAAAACTGCTTAACAGTTAATAAACGATATATCATTTTGCAACTACACAACTCTTTTTTTTTTAAGATTTTTGTCATAAAATTAGACCCACAGGTTTTATAATGGTTAAGGCACTGGAATCCCACATGGCTAACTGTGTCTAGAGTCCTGGAATCCACAGCTTAAAACTCACACCAGTCCTGTATGTGTGCATGCCCAAGATCTTGAAGGGATAATGGAGAAGGGACTGTGTACTTGGCAGAGAGGGACTGTGAGAGAGAAAGTGAGAAATCACTCCCCAGGGGGTATGGCTATGTTGCAGTCCTTTCTCCTCCATTCTCCTCCTGGTATTTTGGACATGCACACACATATGTCTGGAGTGACTTTTCAAGCAGCCAGATCAGGGGCTTAAAATGTAGATAGACATGTGAGAGTTCAGCACATTAACCACTTCACTGCATGCTGGCCCCACTATATAACTTTTTTTTTTTTGAGAGAGAGAGAAAGAGAGAGATTTTTTATGTGGTGCATGTAGTCACCAGAGCAACAAAGAGAGAGAGATTGACAGAAAGTAAGAAATCATTCTTCTGGGGAAAACCACACTGCTATCCCTCCTCTTTCATTCTCTTCTCAAGATTATGGGCACACATGCACACACAACCAGTATGAGTTCCAAGATGCTGTGTCCAGGACTCAAACCATGGTCGGCCATGTGATAATCCAGCACGTAGCCATTATGCCACCTGTTTACCTCACAACTTTTTTTTTTTTGGAGAGATTTTCACTGTAGGGCACGTAGACAGACAGAGAGAGACATAGAGACAGAAAGCGAGAAATCACCCCCCAGGGGGGATGGTCACGCCGCAATCCCTTCTCCTCCATTCTCCTCTCGGGATCTTGGGCACACACGCACACGCGCCCAGCGTGAGTTTTAAGCCACCAGGTCCGGGACACGAACCACGGTCAACTACGTGGGAGTCCAGCGACATAGCCATTATGCTAACTGCTGGTTCCCACAACTTTTTAAGAATATAGATTAACAGCTTAAAGTGCTGCAAGCAACAATTACTTTCTTTTAATGAGTTTCTTTTGTTTGTTCTCTTCATCTAATTGTATTCTGGTTTGTATCTCTAGGCAGTTTCTACACATTTAGGTCAAATGTCTAGCAAGTTTGTAAATTTAAATTATAAAAAGGGTATAATAAAATTTTCTTGAATAGAAAAATTAAAAATATGAGAGACATCAGATCAACACAATTTAACACATCAAGACACTTCAGAAAGCAGAAACTCCAGCTAGCAGAAACAAATATATTCAGATTAGAATGGGGGACCAGTGGATGGCATAATGTTTTTGTCACTGGACTTTCACATAGTCAACCATGGTATGAGTTTCTGACCCAGTATCTTAAACCTCAAGCTGAGTGCATGTACATTCATGCCCAAAATCCCTAGAGAAGAATGGAGAAGATGGAATTGCAGCATCATCATTTTCCTTAAGGAGTGATTACTCATTACCTGTCTCTCTGCCCCTCCTATGAGCACATATGTCCTACAGAAAAAAATCTGTCTGAAAAAAGATTAGAATGAATATAAATATGAGATATTAAAAACCATGCAGAGAACTAGTGTAACAACTAGCTAGTTTTTTTTTTAAACATCAACAAACTTACTGAACATTTGATGGATCTAACAAAGAGAGAGAAGATACAAATCAATAAATCAGACATGAAAATAAAGACATTATTTCTGACTACACAAAAGTAAAAACTTTATAGGGGAACAAAATGAATAATAGTTAATAAAATCTAGCAGTTAACCAATACACAAAATGTAAAAATGTCCAAATAAGATACCATTCATACTTGTAGGTTTAATACCTGTTTAAGATTTATATACAAAATAACTGTTTTAAAAAATAAATGTAAGAAGTCATTCATTTGCAGTTATTTTATCATCTGAGGATATAAAATCAGGGTGCATTTTTGGTTCAAAACCCTAAAACTGTGATACAGGCTTACAAGGTAAAACCTTAGAATGCCTGTTTAATTTGGAACCCCTTCTGTTTTTTAAAGCTTTCCAGGAGTTCTCATCAGGCCTTATCATAATAACATAGCACTTGGGCACGAAAATGTAGCCTAGAAGCCCTGCACTGGAGGCCAAGATGGAGAAGACTTCCACAGCCACCATGAATTTTCTCGTGGTGCTGTGATAGATGGGACAAATGTGACCCAGACACTGCAGAACACCAGCATGCTGAATGTGAGAAACTTGGCTTCATTGAATGTGTCAGGCAGGTTCCTGGCCAGGAAAGCCACAATGAAACTCCCCAGAGCCAAGAAGCACAGGTAGCCCAGGACACAGTAGAAGGCAGTGACTGAGCCCTTATTGCACACGATGATGAGATTTCTGGGCTCAGAATGTGAGTCTATGTCAACAAAAGGAGGAGAGGTCCCCAGCCAGATTCCACAGATAATCATTTGGATCAGGGAGCAAATAGAAATGATGGAGTTGGAAGCCCCTGAGACCAACAAGCACCTCATGGTTCTCCCAGGCTTCATGGCCTTGAATGCCAGAATTATGGTAATTGTTTTGGCCAGAACAGTGGAAATGGCCACAGTGAACAAAAGGCCAAATGTGACTTGTTGGAGGACACAGGTGGCTGTGTTAGGATGGCCAATGAAGAGCAAGGAGCAGAGGAAGCACAACAGGAGGGAGATAAGCAGAATAAAGCTGAAAGCCTGGTTGTTGGCCTTGACAATGGGAGTGTCTCGGTGCTTCACAAAAAATTCCAAAACTACAGCTGTGACGACAAAGAAACACAGAGCCATACAGGCCATGGCTGTCCCCAAAGCATCCTCAAAAGCCATGAATGCCACAGACTTGGGAAGGCAGTGAGTTCTCTCACTGTTTGGATACTCTTGAGAAGGGCACTGGATACACTGCTTTGCATCTCGTGAAAAAGCAAAGGTCCAGCAATTCAATTTTCCTAATTGTTTGTTATGTTGAAGCTAATGGTCACTTTTGTGTAATTTTGCACAGATTAAGCCCCTGAACTAACACCGAGATATAGCAAATTAAAAGCCCTTGTTCATGACACTGAGAGAATTTTTTTTTTCATCTGTAGATAACAACAAAGTGATTTGGAACTGGGTCTTAAGCACATGAGGATCTTGGTTGGCCCATCTTGTGGCTTTCAATGATGTTACCAAGGATGAGAATTTTTTCCAGATTTCTCTTCTCGACTCTCTCCTAAATTTTCCTTTTGATAAACCTTATATTTCCATGGCTTATTATACTTGTTCATCACAATAATAATAAATAGTTTTTTATTTATATTAAGACAAAAATCACTTAATATCTTAGCTTTTCCTCTAACCTAATTTTTTTTCTTGTATATAACACATCACTTTGTGTACAGACTTTTCTCATTGTACATTTTGATTTTTCTGTAAATATTATAACCACTCCTATATAAATATTGAAAACAGTTTAAATATAAAACATTTGAATCTTGAATGGAATTTGATTCCTCCTATGTATCAATTTTTTGTGAAATTTTTATTTTAAGTATATGATAAATGGATAGGGTGTTATTTTTTATGTATCTATTTATATACATCTGAAAGCATGGTTTGTAAATACTTTTAATGTGACTCGTAATATTTTTGCCTTTATACATTATAAAATTTCTGTTGCAAATATTCATCTCTGTTGTTATGTACCAGGAAAACCTTCACAGAGCTTATGGAAACTAACACGCATGGCTCTGTTTCAATTATTATTATTTTAAAAATAGGTAGGGTTTCTCTTCATTTCTCAATTTTTTATTCATTTATTTATTTTGTAATACTGATGCAATAGCATTGGGTTGTCAGAAAAGTCATGTTGCATTTTTGCATAACAATAAATAAAAAACACATCATGACTTTTCCAGCAACCCAGTATATTCTCAATGAATTAGAGTGGAGGCTGTCAGGTGGCATGATGGTGATGATGTGAAACATCCACATGACTGACTGCATTTTGAGTCTTGAACCTGGCAACTTGCTTTCTCACTTCCCTTTCTATTTATTTCTCTTACTTCTCTGGTGAGTGTACAAGCCCCTTAGTAAATTTTAAAAATAATAATAATAAAATTATATAAAAAATTCTTAAGACAGTAAATAGTTCTAGTCAATAACATTGTTTCCTTGCAGTACCTATTTCTATTTTTTGAGCCAGCAGATACTCCTGGCTTCGGTCTCAGAGGCAAGTTTGGTACCCACAAACACAGGAATGTATTCTTCTTGATCAAAAACAATTTTTTCTTAGTTTTCTTTTTCTTTTTTAAAGCATTTTTTATTTTATTTTATTCACTATTATTTTTAAAATTTGTTTTAGGGCATGTGTGCTTCCAGATAGAGAAAGAGACAGAGAGAGGGAAAGTGAGAAAATGAGCCACCAGGTCTGCGACTTGTACCACAATTGGTCATGTGGGAGTCCAGTGTCTAAACAAACATGCCACTTGCTGGCCCCTATTGCCAGGGGTCACATGGATTCACTAGAGAGAGATACAGAGAAAATGAGGAAGTGAGACAGCACCATCTCTATGAAATGGTCATGTCACAATAACCTATGCACCATTTTCCCTTCATATCAGGATTTTGGACAATGCACAAATCCTTTGTGTGTTTTCCAAGTCATCTGATTTGGTACTCAAGTCACAATTTAGTCATGTGGGATTCAGTCACATTAACTACCATTCCATGGGCCAGCTCTGTACCTCTATGTTTATTTCTTGTTTTACACACTTATATGCTTTTGCAATTCCTTCATAAAAAATAAGTAATATGTTTTATTGGCATATTCTTACCTGAACATATATTATATTTTATTAGTGATGAAATTCAAGTGTTTTCTACTGTTAAAATGTCTTCAATTGCATAATACTTATGGGAGAATTCCAACCATACTTATTCCTTATATATCAGAAAAATGAAAGCATGATTTCTTATCATTTTCCATATTTTATTTTTGATAATACAGCATTTCATTGTGATAATTGCTTGATTTTGTATGAGAGCATATTTTGATGTGTTCAATTGTGAAATTTACTAGAATGAGTTCTCAATTTGTAAATTATAATTCTTTTTCTTCCTGCAATATATATATCAAAGTGTGGTATTCTGATATTAGTCAATTATTTGTACTTAATTGCACAGGTGTTTGTCTATGGTTGAAAAAGTTATAAAATATTCTTATAATAGTTTATCTAAAATTCCTTCATGCTTATCATGTGGGTCTCAAAGTCAGATTCAAACTTTAAGGCACCCACAGGTAAACTTGATAATTATACATCCTTCTATTCATGGTCACTGTGGTCCAATATGAGATCCCAAATTGACAGTGTCTTACCCAGCACTAAACTGCAAGGGTGTTCATTGGAAATAGTTTCACAGTTTAGCTTAATAGAATGAACATGGACAGGAACCAGCTTACATAAAATAAAGTAGGTAATTGTTTATAAAATAAATATAGCAAAACAATAATTATGTGAATTAAGAGCTGTGGTGCTCTATGTTTCATTTATTATTTATTTTTAAAAGAGATTTTTGCTATAAAGCATGTGTGCCCAACACAGAGACAGAAAGTAAGTGAGAAATTAGAGGTATGGCCATGCCACAATCTCTTCTTCTTTCAGAATTGTCAACACAAATGTTCATGTACCTGGCATGAGTTTCAAATTTCTAGGTTGAGATTTGAACTGAGGCTGGCCACATGGCACAATGCCTTAACCACCATGCCACCCGCAGGTCCCTACGTTTTATTTCTAATAGTAATAGTTTCATTTTTATTGAGAAATAGTAGGGACTGATAGTGTAGTTATATATTTCATACTTGTTTGATTTGAAATCTCTGACTCTGGGCAAGAAGCACAAATAAAGCAGCAAACAGGTCTTCCTTCCTGGGGAATTTTCTGGAATCCAGGAACACAGCTGTGACTACACACAGATTCAGGAGTCTGAGCAGAAAAGAAAATCATTTGTAATAATAATGTATGTTATGTGCTGTTTTGAATACATGTCACTATTTCTTTCTACTTTAGAGAAAACTGGCATTTAATACTTTATCACTATTTATCCTTTAGATATTACCTAGGTTTCTATTTATTTTTTTTAGATAGATATTTTGGCTATAGGGTGCATGTGCTTGCCAGAGAGAGGGAAAGACAGAGAAAGAGAAAAATCACCCCCTGGGAGGTATTGCTACACTACAATACCCTCTCCGTTCTCCTCGCAGAGTTTCTGGCATGCATGCACATGTGCCTGACATGAGTTTCAGACCTCTGTTTCCAGGAATCAAACTATAGTGAGCCAGAGCCTTAACCACTATACAACGTGTTGGTCCCCCTTACCTAATATTCTAATTAAGAACTATTGTACTTAGCATTCTTTTTTATGTATTATTATGTTTTAATTTTAAAAAATAATTTTTATTTATTATTTCTTTATAATTTATAACCAGAAAAAGACAGAGAGAGAGAGAAAGTAAAAGTGCGAAAACAAGCCATCATTTCTGGGACTTGAACAGCAATCCACTGTGTGAAAATCCAGTGCTTTAACAACTTTACCACCTGCGGGTCCCCTTTATGTATTATTTATCAAATATTTCCAAGGTTCCTTATTGCTTTATCTCATGCATTACTAAAAATATCCCTCGTGCCATTTTCTTCTCTTATGCAATTACTGCATCTAAAATCATTTTAATGCAGGTTTTTACATGGTAAAGACTCTGAAAAGTTGTGTTCCCCCAAGAATATTTATACTATATTCTCATATCTGGTTGGGTAGAAAATATTAGGTTCTGGGTTTTAAAATATCTAATACTATTTTATATAGGTGCACAATAAAAATCTACCTTAAAACTAATGGGTCAACACATAAATTATGAGAGTGCGGTTATTCCATTTCTGGGCTTGTGAGACTAGTTGAGCACTGCTTTTCATAAATGAACACAATACATGTAAAAAGCATGATATTTATATAACTCTTCTGTCTCATCTAATTGCTTGAGACTGTAGTCACTGCTTTGAGATGTTTAGTACAATGAGGAATGGTATGCAAAATGGTGGCAGGTGGTGTAGGGGTTAGAGCACTGGACTCTCACAGGGTTGATCATGGTTCAAGTCCGAGACATGGTTGCTTGCTTTCACACACACACTCTGTGTAGTCAAATTGAAGAATAAAAATAATAAGTAATAAATAATTTTGGGGAGGTTTTCACTGTAGGGCGTGTGCACTCACCAGAAAGACAGAGAGACATAGACAGAAAACAAGAAAACACCCCCCAGTGGGGATGGCCACGCTGCAATCTCTTCTCCATTCTCCTCTCAGGATCTTGAGCAAGCATGCACGCACACGCTCCCAGCATCAGTTTAAGCCACTGGGTCTGGGACTTGAACCACAGTCGGCCAAATGGGTGTTCTGCAACATAGCCATTACACCAACTGCTGGTCCCCTGATAAACAATTTTTAGTAAAATAAGAATAGTATGCAAAATAATGAGAAAATATCTACAAAAACGTGACTAGTATCTTAATGTATAATTTACTTGTCTTTGCAGTATACCAAATTTTAAGAAGTACTTTGTTCACAAATGATAAATGGTTTCAGGATACATAGAGAAATTTTTTATACACACACATACACATATATATGAAAAAGTCATGTGCTCCATAAAGACATAAGGCATTTCAGTCATTAATAAACTGCATATATGTTAGTACTCCTATAACATAATAGTATAGGCCATAGAAATTCCATGTGCTGTGTGAAATGTCATCTAGGTTTGTGTAAGTGCAATCTATGATGTTCACAAAATAAAAAAAATAATTGTAAAAATGCATTTCTTGGGGACCAGAAAATGGTGCAATGGTTATGTCATTGGATCCACACGGCTGAGCCAAGTTTGAGTCTTGGACCTGGTAGTTTGAAACTCACATGTGGTGCATGTATGCATTTGCCAAAAATCCCAAAAGGAGAATGGAAGAGAAGAGATTATGGTGTGGCAATTCCCCTATGACATGATATCTCACTTTTGCCCTCCCATTCTCTGTTTCTGTGATCAGTGAATGTGCCCTATAGGAACAATCTCTCTAAAAAAGAATTTTAAAAATTAAAAAATACATTCTTGAAATATTTATCTTATTTAAAGATATTCAACTATGTGTACATAACCAGTACCTCATTAACTTTATTAATTGAACTGTTGCTTGAACAAATGTAAGAAACCAAATCAGCTTATAAAAACTGGAAGTATTTCTATGCTTTAGAATGTATATAAGCAAAATAAGATAGTACTATTCTGGATGTAAAAGGTGAATTTTGTTTTGTTAATTTGTATTTTGACTGAGGCAAGAGTTCAATTTGTGTTCTTTACAATTTGAATAGGTCATATATGTTCACAGGAGAGAGACAGAGACAAAGAATAAGTGAGAAATTAAACCTCAGGGAGATAGTCATGACACATTCCCTTCTCCTTCATTCTACTATACAGATTTGGGCATTCACACACACGCACACATGCCAGGCATGATTTTTAAGCCACTGCATCCAAAATTAAAATGATAGTCATGTCTGAATCCAGAACCTTCATAATGATGGCACCTGTTACACCATGTGTGTGTGTGTGTGTGTGTACTCACCAGAGAGAGAAAGACAGACAGATCATGAGAGGAAAAGAGAAATCACCCCCCAGGAGAATGGCACACACTTCCAGTGTGAGTTTCAAGTCACCAGATCTAGGACTCAAACCACAGTCATGTGGGATTCCAGTGATGTAAGTACTCTGCAATCTGCTGACCCCACCTCTGTATGTATTTCATATTAAAATGACATCGTACCTCTTTGAAACTAACAGGCCAGTTTATCATCTCTTCTTTAATGACCAAACCTTGATCTTGGGAATTCCTGTAGATAAAGTCTCCTACTTTAACAAACAGTCAACTGGGATTAGGAAATCTCACGAGGTTGTGGATATTATGCTGTATTCTATTTCTTTCTTCATCCAGGGGAATGTTGTACCCAATGCTGTTTGTCAGTCGGCTTTTCCTCAGAAATGGATGAAGCTGGATTAAAGGCAGGGTTTACAAATTAGGACTGCATTTAATGAAGAGTGGACAGTCCATATCTAGAAAGTAATCCTTCTATTTAACATCTCTATTTACATGTTCACTTTTTTGTAGTACTCTGTTTTGAGTGGTAAGCAGCTCAGGGCTCATGTGAGATGAACTCTTAAAAAAAAATAAACAACAATGAAGGAGAGGTTGTCACTCATCAGAAAAGCTCTAGTATGTTTTTCAGAGTGTAATTTGTACTTAGACTCTCATAAAATCCAGACAAATAAAATGTGGTTTGGTACAATTGGAGGCTGATCTTGGTCATTCATAAAGGGGAAAACATGGGGCTAGACAGTAGAGTAGTTAAGGTGCTAAATCACATATGGCCAAGCTGGCAACTTGAGTTCTGTACATATAGCTTACAAAACATACTGAATGGGGTCAAAGGTGGCAATGGTGATAAAGTGCTGGACTCCCTCATGGCTGATCATCATTCAAATCCTACTCCTAATGGCTTGCTTTCTGACGTTCTTTTTCTCTTTTATCAAATTTTAAAAATAATAATAAAGTAAAATCATTAAAAAAAAAAACAGAACATATGTGTGCATGCCCAAAATTCCAAATGGAGGGAATTCCATTGTTCATGAATTCCAGTGGTCATGATTGCATCATGACCATTTTTTATGGGGGGGGGGTGATTTCTCACTTTTCCTATCTTTGACTGGAAAATGCACATGCCTTACCTGATAAATAATTTTTTACAGAAGTATTTATTCTATTTTATTCATTATTATTATTTTATATTGACCAAAAACAGACAGAGACAGAGAAAGGGAGAGAGCACAATGAAAAGTCCAAGAATCTAACCATGGTCAGTCATATGGAAATCCAGTGCCCTTACCACCACACCACCTGCCTGCCTCTTGTGGGAAAATTTTAGAAGACACTATATAGATGGATAGGTTTAGATTCTCGATAGTATTAGTGGTATTATAAAGGTGTGAATTTCTCCAAGTTTATCCAAATATACACATTAAATATGTGCAATATTTGGATACTATTTAGACCTAATAAAGCTTTTAAAAAGGGAACAAATATGTTTTGTTCTTTATCATTAATTTGGACATCTTTTGATAAGATTGTGATTGTCATGTCAAAATACAATAAACAACTTGTGACAAAATATAAAGTTAAAACTTCTAAATTCTTTTTTTTTTTTTTGAGAGGCTTTTGCTATAGGGTGTGTGCGCTCGCCAGACAGACAGAGAGACAGAGAGATAGAAAGCGAGAAATCATCCCCCGGGGGGATGGCCGCACCACAATCCCTTCTCCTCCATTCTCCTCTTGGGGTCTTGGGCACACACACACACGTGCCTGGCGTGAGTTTAAACCACTGGGTCCGGGACGTGAACCATGGTTGACTACACAGGAGTCCAGCGACATAGCCATTACGCTAACTACTGGTCCCAAAACTTTTAAATTCTAACAGAAATTTTTCATTTTTGTTTTTCTTCATGGAAATATGTCCTTATAGAAAGAGACAGAGAAATAGTGGAAAAAGAAGAGGAGAAAGCACCTCCCATGGGGAATGGTCAGGCTGCAATCCCTTCTCCATTTCTTCCTCCTTTTTAGGTTTAGGTGTGTATGCATGCATGCACACATGCCTTAGGCTTCCAGGTCTGGGACTTGAGCCATGTGAAACCTATCTGCCTTAGTCACCAGGCCATGGGTTCAACCCACAAAATAGATTACAAAATAGATTTTTTAAAGAGAATTATTTATTTACTCTTAACTATTATCATTATTTTAAATTTGCTAAAGGGCATGTGTGCTCATGAAAGAGAGAGAGAATAAGAAAGTATACTGCCAGGTCTGAGACTGAAACCATAAAGAGTCCAGCAACTTAACTACCACACCATTTGCTGGCCTCATTAAAGAGATTATTATTTGTTGTTGTTGTCGTTGGGAGAGGTTTTTGGTACAGGGCACATGTGCTCACCACAAAAATAGAGAGAGATAGAGAGACAGAAAGCAAGAAATCACCCCCAAGGGGAGATGACCACGCCACAATCCCTTCTCCTCCATTTTGCTCTTGGGATCTTGGGCATGCACACACACATGCCCAGTGGGAGTTTAAGCCACTGTGTCTGAGACTAGAACCATGATTGACTACATGGGAGTCTAGCCATATAGCAATTGCACCAACTGCTGGTCCCTTACTCATTAAAGAGATTATTAATAAAACACATTATTCTCTTAACTTTTGAATTTGCTTTTGAAGAGTCGATGTAAATCTTGTTCAAAGTGCAAATCAATTTTTTTTTAGAGGTTTTTGCTATAGGGCATGTGCGCTCGCCAGACAGACAGAGAGAAACAGAGAGACAGAAAGCAAGAAATCACCCCCCAGAGGGGATGGCCATGCCGCAATCCCTTCTCCTCCATTGTCCTCTTGGGATCTTGGGCACGCACGCACACGCGCCTGGTGTGAGTTTAAGCCACCAGGTCCGGGACGCGAACCACGGTCAACTACGTGGGAGTCCAGCGACCTAGCCATTATGCTAACTGCTGGTCCCAAATGTTGTTATTCTTAATACAAGTGAAAATAAGATAGAAATTAAATTCTCTGATCTTTATTTTTATGTATGTATATTGTGTTTGCTTGTTTTGCTCAACAAATTTGTCTAATATATTTGTCCTTTTTTGATATTTTTATATAAAATTTATAAATTTAGTGTTTTTTAAAATTGTTTTATTTTACTAAGAGCTATTATTATTATTAAGTTTGCTATAGGGCACATGTAATCACCCAAGAGAGACAGAGAGCAAGAGAGAGGGAAAGTGAGAAAGCAAACCACCAGTCCAGTACTTGAATCACAGTTACCCATGTGGGAGTCCAGAACCTTAACCATGAGACCAGTTGCTAGCTCCATGATTTAGTGTTTATTTGAAATATAAACTTGTTTATGAACCAACTAGAAAATTCTGATGCTATAGGTTTCAAAAGTGGTTTGATGTTTTAAAATTGGATCACTGTTCTTTCTTCCAGGAATTTTGCAAACAGTGTAAGTACAGTTAATTCTAAAAAAATGTTCTTTCCATGAGTCATGTTAGGATAGTATGTAGAACTAACTTTTGTCCTCACCATAAATATTGCATGAAGAAATTAGGTCACAGCATCTGTATCAGTAGAGATGAAATGGATATGATTATTATGTTAATATTCTCTGTTGTTGGATGTGTTCCTAAAAAACACATAGATTTGACCAGTTGTAATCTATGTTCTGTCAAATATCTTTTCTTGGACTTTTTTAGTATTTCACTGTACATTATTTTTATTAATTTAATTAATTTTCAAAAATTTGCCAGAGGGCACATGTTAGAAAGACAGAGAAAGAAAGCAACTTTGATAGAGAATGGTCATACTGCAATTTCTTCTCCTTCACTTACAAGCATGTGTTCAGGGACACACACATTTATGGGGGTTTCTCAATCTCTGGGACTAGGATTTTAGCTACAAGATTGACCATGTGAGATCTGACTACACCAATGACCAGGTCATGGAGGCAGGCCAAATATTTGAAAATATAAATCTCTAGTAGCAGAACTCCATAAGTAAAAGTAACAATTACCAATATACCTTGGGTGAAAAAAAAAAAAAACTTAAAAAGAAAGTTTTGCCTAATATTGTTATTTTAAGAAGAAAACATAGGTTGTGTATTTTGTTTTTAAGAGAGGTTTTTGTTATAGGGCATGTGTGTTCACCAGAAAGACAGAGGGAGACAGAGAGACAGAAAGCAGAATAACCACCTAAAAGAAATAACCACTCCAGGGGGGATGGTCACGCTGCAATCTCTTCTCCTCCATTCTCCTCTCGGGATCTTGGGCATGCATACACACGCGCCCAGCGTGAGTTTTAAGTCACTGGGTCCGGGATGCGAACCGCGGTCGACTACGTGGGAGTCCAGCGACATAGCCATTACACCATCCTTTGGTCCCCAGATTTTGTTTTTTTAAAAAAATACCTCACCAGGGACCAGCAGATGGTGTAATGGTTACATTGGTGGACTTCCACATAATGGACCAGAGTTTGAGTCCTGAACCCAGCTGCTTAAACCTCATGATGTGCACGTGTGTGTGCATGCTGAAAATGCCAAAAGGAGAATGGAAAAGAAGGTTCTACTGTGGTCATCCCCTCTGGGTGGCTATTTCTCACTTTCTGTCTCTGTCTCTCTCTGTCTCACTGGTGAGGGCACATCCTCAATAGCAAAACTCTCTGTAGAAATAAAATAAATAAATAATTCAACAAGTCTTATGGTGATTAGGGTGGCTTGCTTTCCACATGACCTACTGTGATTCAACTTCTGGAACCAGTGGCTTGAAAATCATGTTGGGCACATGTGTGTGCATGCCCGAAATCCCAAGAAAATTATGGGGAAGAAGGTATTTCAGCACCATCATCCCCCAGGGAGTGATTTATTATTTTCTCTCTCTCTGGTGAGTGCACACACACTGTGACAAAAGCTAAAAACACACAAACAAACAAAAACACCTCTAGGACTCAGCAGGTGGTGTTGTGGTTTAAGTGGACTCTCACATGACTGAACATAGTGCAAGTCCCAGAACTGGAAGCCTGAAAATCATGCCAGTCACTCGTGCATACTTGTTCAAAATCACAGGAGGACAGGAGGAGAATAGAGTAGAAGGAATTGTGGTGTGGTCACTACCCTCTTAGGGGGTAGATGTCATATATCACTTTCCCTCTCACGGTCTCTCTCTGATGAGTTTATGTGTCCTATGGAAAAAATTAAAAAAAAAAAAAACCTCTAAAAGTTATCCGGTGCTTGTGCAGGGTGTTTACCTGCCAGGGAAGAATATGCTGGTCTGCATCTCCTGGAGATCCCATTTCTATTTTAAGCAAAAGCATCTTATACAGAACTTGAGCCACCACATGCACAGCATGATAGATAAAATAGCTAGGGTCAGATATGATCAGCATGCTCAACTCAGATGGTAGAATCTCTAGGGAAGAATTAGGTGGGCAGTCTCCAAGTTTGCCACATAGTGATCCAGCAAGTGAGCATCCAAAAAGTGAAGCCAGAGTTTACTGAAGTAAAAATCTTCTGGGTATTGGGGAGGATTCACTGTCTTGAGAAATTCTTTAAAGCCAGAAATGTTCCTTTTCTGGTTTGAAAATAAGAGGCTTCCCTGGAAAAAATATGGTATGTGCTTCATAAAAGTCAAAATACCTTCCCACTCTGAGAAGTGAAGATTTCTCATGACCCATACCTTTCCAGTAATTAAATAGAACTATTTTTCTCTTCCTAGACTCCAGACACTCCCTACATCAACCATGTATTATATACACATTTGCAGATGAAACTCTGATCCTCTGCACAAGAATCAAGTCATGTGGTAAAAAGACATCTTTTGTGGCAGGGAGCTTTTCTGTAAAGGCCAGACAGATAGCCTTTTCTGTCATCTTTGCCTTTATATCCTGAAGAAACTGCTCTCCTTGCATATCTTCTGATACATAGAGTGCCACCCACGTCCAGCCAAAATGCAACAACAAGCAGATGATTCCATGTATCAGAGAACTGTCCTTGGTGGCCATCTGATAAACTGATGGAAATTGGTCTTTATCACTTAGGATGGGATCAAAAGGACCGTATGTACCTGAATAAAAAAGAAATAATCTTATTCTAAACTTATGTGGATTTTGGGTTGTCAGACTTAAATAGGTAGAAGATAAATCTTTAGCTTATAAGATCAGAGAATGGAATGTTGAGTGAAGAATATGCATGCTGTAATTAAGAGCAGTAGAAGACTGTTTTTCAGACCCATTTCTTTTAATAAAGGACTTGTGATTAGTACAAATAACATCACTTCCAGACTAAAGCATGAAAGTATAATGTTCAATAATCATTTTATTGTCTACTGTAAAAACTGCGGGATGCATAAATTTATAAAACTGATCCAACAAGATGGTAATTCTGCTATCTTGAGTGTGATATAAGGATCAGGGGTTTCCTTTCCTAGCAGCCAAGGTTAAAAATGTCAAGTCTGGGGACCAGCAGTTAGTGTAATGGCTATGTCACTGGACTCCCACATAGTCGACCATGGTTCGAGCCCCAGACCCAGTGGCTTAAACTCATGCCAGGCGCGTGTGCATGCGTGCCCAAGATCCCGAGAGAAGAATGGAGGAGAAAGGATTGCGGCATGGTCATCATCCCTGGGGGGTGATTTCTCGCTTTCTATCTCTCTGTCTCTCTCTGTATGTCTGGCAAGCGCACACACCCTACCTCTCAAAAAAAAAAAAAAAAGAAAAGAAAAGAAAAAAAAGTCAACTCTGAAAAAAATATTGTATTGATGTTATTATACTGTGTTTTATCACTACAGAATAACCTATGTCATCTTAAAATAGAACTTAGCCTCTCTGACATTTTTAAAATGTAACTTTTCAAGAGCATGATTCTCCTTTGCCAGTTATGTCTCCTGAAACTTTTATTAGACAGTTTCCCTGGAAGAATCTCTGAGGTGTAGAGCTGTTATGTAGAGAGTAACTGGAAGTGCTTTCAAGAGATCCACCTGCATGGGTTTGGAAGGCCAGAGGGAGCTGGTAAGCCTCAGCTACTATAACTGAGCCATGCCAACTTGGAGTATCTCCAGTGCTGGAATGTCCTTTCTTTGTTGAATGTTGTAATGAATGCAAATGTTTTTTATGTCTTTGTGTCAAATTGTCCAATAAATGTCCCTTCGTATTTTTCTCTCTCCAGATAAGGTAAATGTCCACTCAGTTCATACTTTTTAAGAGATATCTTTAAATTAGCCATCAATGTTATCACTGGCAATTGAATGTAATGGTTATGGACAGGTGTTTGGGTGAAACTTAACATATTTCCCTGCTCTTATTTTTAACTTGTTAGAGGGCAAATTGTATCATGTGTGCCTACCACAGAGAGACAGAGGAAAGTGAGAAATAACTCCTCATAGGGGATGGGTATATTAATATTTCTTCTCCTAAATTTCCCATTGGTTCCCATTGGTGGGATTTGGGACAGGAAAGCACACAAGCCCAGTGTGTTCGTTAAGCCATCAGGATGAACATTTGAACCATGCAGTCAGCCACGTGGGACTCAGCCACAGGACTGAATCTGGCCCACCTCTGCTCTTTTTCTTTCTCTCTCATCTTTATACTGTTAATAATCCCATGACTCAGGAAATTACCTGCTTTTTTTTTGTTTGGTGTCTCAGAAAATTGTGCACAAACAACCAAGAAAAGTTTTGAGGGTTGCAAGGTGTATAATCCCAGCTTTCACTTTTTCTTTGCTCATATGTGAGAAGATGGCATTAACAGCTATTCAACTCTCATTCCCCATCCTGGCACCCAATTACCTGTGGGCTTTTAGAGAGTTCCAAAAGAGTTCCAACTTGGGCTGAAAATGTGGGCATGTTTCCTGCAATGATAGCAACAGGTTGTTTCTGTGTCTGGCAGTTGTAATTTGGCAGGGTCTCATTCCCTCCAGTGAGCAAAAACACTGCATTTTCTAAAGTTCTTTTGTTACTGGTAAATGCATTGTAGAGATCATAACCAAGGGTAAGGGTAGGGAGCAAATGGGGGCTCTTATTGATCTCCTCAATGGCAAAGAGAAAGGCCAGTACATATTGGTAGTTCTTCCAGTGGTACCTAACAGAGGGGATAGTGTTAGAAAACACAATAAACTCATGTAAATCAGGGTAAATTCTTTAGCCAAGCCACAAGACATAAAGGTTTAGGTCTAGGCTGCCATTCAGAGATTCTCGTGTAAGTAATATTCACAGCGCTCTAGAAAACCTTGAAATGGTTTTCTCTCTACTTAAGAAAATTGTGTCCAAAAAATGAACAGAGGTTTCCAGGGCCTTGTGAGGGAGATGAGGTTTTGTTTAGCTGGATGATGACTCTGCCACTTGAACAGAGGTGATTTTAAAGGAGGATCATTAATATATAGAGAAGACAACTTTTCTACAGGCTGATAATAAAGAGTGCACACATTCACCATTATTTATACATTTTAAAAATTTATATATTGGCAACTTACGTATATATAATACAAAGTAGTTTTAGGATTTTAAAATATAATGTGAAACAATTGGACTATGATTGTTAATATGTATATCACCTGAAATATTTCAGATTTTCTGTGAGGAGGATAACATTAGTACCATGCTCCCTTGGCACTTTTGGAAAGAACAGTACTCAATACTGAGTTACATTTCTCATGATTACACTCACCTTCATAACCCTTCTCGAATGTGTCCCACATGTAATCTTGTTTCTATGTAGGTCCAGAAACCACAATTGAAGCATTTCTCATTTTACCTATCTTCTGGAAATTTTATATAGCATCTGGAGGGCTAGCAATTGGCATGGTGGTTTAAGGCCCTAGACTTATAAGCTAACCACACTTCAAGTCCCGGCCCGGATAACTTTCTCTCTCTCTCTCTCTCTCTCCCTCTCTCTCTCTCTCTCTCTCGTGAGTACACATGCCCTATACCAAATTCAAAAAAAAATCAAATAACATTAAATAAATAATTTTAAAAAAGCATTTGGTTTGCCAATTTTTCAACCATTTGGCACATTTCAGGTAGTTTTTGATGGTTTTTCTATAGTTATTTTTTTAATTCATTTATTTGCATTTATTCACTGTACATCACTACAACATACAAAATGAGATTTTCCATTCAGAGTACACTGTATATTGTCTCAATCAAGCACATCAACAAACATGTTATTGTCAACAAATAATTTTTCATTTCTTGTTTTCTGTATGTTTTCCTTTTTTCCCCTCCATCCTTGATTCCCTATCTCTTACCCTCTGCCATCTCCCACTCTCTTCCCACACTGTCTGTGGTATCTATGTTTGCTTTCTATACTGTTTCCCCGCCATTTTTTATCGAATTACTAAAGATCTTAATTAATCTAAATATTTTCATAGCAAACACAGCTAATATATACATTTCCATGAACACAAGTCTAACTTTAGGCATCCTATAAA